CAGTCATTAGATAAATGCATTCTCTTTCCCGATTTACGGGCCGTGTTCAAACTTATGCTATATGGTTTAGTATAGCAAGTTTTTTTAATACTTATAGTTTCTATAGTTTATAGTTTTCCTTATTTCTGGCCCAGTGATAAAAACATAAAACTAGCGTATTAGTATTGTTCTTGGATTGTGGCGACACCGTGTGTTTTATGAGAAATAACTGGTCAAATCGTCTTTTAACTTTATCGAAACTGAAAACCCTAAATATTAAGAACAATGATAATAACTTAGAGTATGTTAGTATTTAATCATACTAAGGTTCTTCAGAGATAAAATGACTTGTTTATTTAAACCAATAAGTGATTCCGTGTTGGATGGTGCCGAGAATAACATGTTATTTTGCACCATAAAGCGAGCAGACAGGAAGAGCGATATATGAACGAAAGGATGGATGTAATATAGCAGAAAAAGAAAGATACTTGAAACAATTAAAGACTACAAAAATTGTTTCTTTTTATCTATCACATGATACTTTCTACAAAATATTATGATTTGTAATTTAAAAAATATTTGTTTGAATCAATAAATCCTGTCGCTTAGATCTTGAGCTAAATTATCTCAGTTGTTTGCAACGACGGTGGAAGTTTATGTTAAATTAATGATACCATTAGTTCTCGCTTTTACACGAAGAAAGCATTTTCAATTGAATTCTCTTGTGAACCGGTTCGTGGTGTTGTTGTCCATATGTCGTTAATCTTTTGTTGTTGTTTTTCTTATTGTGGAAGCACGATGCATACAAATCAGTCGCTGTATTTCATTTCAATGATTATTCCGTATATTGGTGAATTTGATGAAATGATCGTGTGTCTCGTCCTTTTTTCCTTTCAAATAAGGACAAAGCGTTGCAGTTATTAAACAATTGAGTAAGACAGCTATTTTGTAATATTTGTTATTTTAAGTAATTTTTATACGTTGACTTTTTCTTTCCTTTGTACTACGTCTACGTTATGCACCTGGCTAATTGTATGCTTAGTTTCGTTTATTATTAGTAAAAATAAAGATATCAAGTAAAATATCCTTTTTAATGTGTAGGATGACCAATCATTCAATGAGGGAAAGACTTCCACTAGAAATAAACCTGTATCCGAAGAGAACAAGATGTTTAACTGCATGTAACCTTGCTACTTCGAAAGAAAATTCAAGATTTCAGCTAAAACCACTTTTTAAAACTCTTTTTCTCTTCTATAAAGAATGTCACTCTACTTTAATTCTTTTTGGGTATTTAACCGTGTTCAGAGCAATTGTGCAAAAAAAAAAAAAAACATCTGTTATTCTAATCTATTTTACCGTGAAGTTTAAATGTTGATTAAACTTATCACTAATTACTTTTGGAGTTGTATGTTTGAACAAACAAAAATCTTAACAATTCTACTCTATTTATAACCTATCTTCGCACTTTTTTCTGTTTTCATACGAAAATAGAATCATATTGCTAAAATGTTCCGTTTTTGCTTACTTTTTATTCTTCTGTCACCGCCATAACTACAGTAAAAAAACATAATCATTAAAATTTATTTTACTTTTTTTTGCTGAGATACAAAGAAACAAAAAAAGTAATCGTATTTTTTTTACTAAAAATTACTTTTTTTGTTGTTGTAAATAAACACGTGAATAAGAGAAAGAGAAAGAACAGAGTAAAAGAAGTTCGATTTATCATAATTTGACATAATGATTTTTTTTAATAAAGTCAAAATCATATTTCTATATATGTCTCTCCCTTCCAAATAGAAGGAGGCACTTGACAAATAGTATAATTTAAAGGTTTTTCTTCATTTAATAGCATGCACATATATATATATATATATATATAGTGAATACTGGAAAAAAGAAAGGAATTAGAGTTAACTGATCTAGGTATAAGACAATTTTTTCTTATAAATTTCTATCATAGTGAAAGATCACTATGTGATTGGTGTTTCACAATTATAGTGTCAAAGTGTAAGCTAAAGCTGGTTTTTTCAAGGGACGAACTAAAAATGTTAAAAATACGGTCTTCTGTTTTTCTTAAACAAAAATGCCATTGTCAAAATGAATGAGAGACAGTAGATTAAATTAGGGAAAAGAGCTGTTTCGACTTCATAATATGTCTAATAACTGTCATGGAGTTGTGGTGATTGTTGAACTATTATTATTATAATTACTTGTCGATAATCATTGAGAATAGAACGGAAACGAAAGAAAAAGTAAAACAAAAATATTACTATCGGATAGTAGTAGATACAGGTGAACTGCTGTGTGACAGTTTCTTTAATATTAAGCTTACAAAAAAACAAAGTACAATAGATTTATATTTTGTCGTATATCGAACAGCATAAATATTTGATTCACATTTTTGCCATGGTATCTACATATGCAAAACAGTTGTTGTGTGATTTGTTTTTTCTTTTCAAAATAACAAAACTCTTTAGTTTAAAAATACTATCCTGTTGTTTTGAATTGATTCTTTACCAAGTATTTATAGTAATTCATTTTCTTTCTTTTAGATATAGTGTACGAAACCTTTTTCTTGAGATCAAAAATATATTTGTTGTCTATCGTCTAATTGTGTTTTTTTCTTAATTTTTGTTTTGTACTTTTTTTTCTTTTATTTAAATAGTAAGTATATAAAATCCATGATAAATTTTTAATATCTGCATTTCATTTTTCCTGTTAAAAGTAGTTTGATTCATAAAAACGAGTCATGCCATCTGAAAATTGTTGTGATGATGAGACAATTGAAAAAAATTCAATGCCAGAAGATGATCCGAATGGAAATACAATTCATGATGCAAGAGAAATGCGATGGGGACCACAACACGCGGGGGCCAAAATACTAGCAAGTCAATATACGAGAGGTAAGACAAAAAATGCTATGATATATGATAAACTGATACAAATTCTTTCATAGGTGTCGTTTATGGTTTACTTTTAATTTCTCATTTTAGAAAAACGTATTCAAGAAATCATATCCATAATACTCTGTATTGTATTGATGATCTATAATTTTACATATATTTGTCATTATTTTGATGTTCGTATTTGGTATCTTGTCATTCCAGCAGCATGTACGTTAGTTTCTATCATTTTTTTTTCTTAATTAAATTCTCATGTAAATTTTGCCATTAGAATGTTTTTTGTTTATATTTTTAATCTAGTGTTAGGAATACTAACAGCTGATTTTGCAAGTGGAGTTGTTCATTGGGGAGCCGATACATGGGGCTCAGTCGAAATCCCTCTAATCGGCAGGGTAAGAGTATATTTGATACATGAATATAGACAATTCTGAAGAATCACTAATATACATCTTTTTTTTTAGAATTTTTTACGCCCATTTCGTGAACATCATATTGATCCAACATCTATAACACGACATGATTTTATTGAAACCAATGGCGATAATTTCGCCGTTACGGTACCATATTTATTATATATGGCATATAAATTTACATATTGGAATGAAAGTGATATTAGGAAATTTTATAATTTTGAAATTTATATGTTTTTACTCGGGATATTTGTGTCATTAACAAATCAGGTAAATAAAGATAGCCGTAGTATGGCAAGAAGCATAGGACTTAAAGAAAATTTCTATGACATATTTACGTACCAGATTACTATGAAATTTTTTTATCTCAATTGAGTTATAGATGGCGTAAGAAGTTGTTTGGTCAACAATAAACGATTTCAATTTGAAACTATCTTCTCTCTGTTGGAGAAAGAAAGAGGAATATGATGCTTTGCACTTACCATTGTCAGTGTGGCTTGTTGACAAGTCAGGCTGGCTCCATATCTCTCCTAAAGTTGATAATTTTCGATGATAGTCGTGTCCCTCTCTCACCAATTATTCGATTGCAGTTCTGGCACAAAAGGCTGGCACGACACACAGTTCTTTCGTCCCCAATTGCCTGAGCTCCCTAATCATTGGCTTTCTGGCAAGCTAGAGGTACTTTGTTGTACGTCACAAAGTAGCAAGTATACTATCGAGCGAATAATTTGAGATACATGAACAGAAGCGGCTGACCCAAGTCAAGTGCATGATCTGTCGACACTGAGATTCGAACACAATATTTTTGAAGTGCATGACGAACAACGTAACAGTTAAATCATGATATCTCTATGGTTTTACCCAATATTATATGTTTTTAGTTCCACAAGTGGTCTCATACCTATTTTGGTTTACCGTCCTATATTGTTTTTTTACAAAAATATCACATTATATTACCACGCAAACATCATCGTTTACATCATGGTATGCATTTTTTATGTTACACTGCTTACTAAATAACAAAATGATAATTTTTTTCTCTTAGTGATGCCACATGACACATATTTTTGCAGTGAGTATTTTGATACCCTTTACATTTCATCTATTTATTCTGTATATTTTATTCTTTTCTTTTTAGTCACAACCGGTTGGTTAAATTATCCCTTAGAGTTAATTGATTTTTGGTCTAGATTAGAGATTATTATTGAGAAATACAGTGGTTCAAAACCAAGAAGTGACGATTTTAAATGGGCACAAAAAACTCTGTGATATTTGGAAACAAAATTAATCTAAATAAACATCTCACACAAAAATACTCATTGACAACGAATCAAATCATTTAAGATGTGGTTCAATTGTATTTATTTATATTATGAGAAAAAGTAACGTAATCTATAAACAAATGATTTTCTACATTCGAATTTTTCTTCGTTATTTTATATGTACCGTTATGTAGTCAAATGAGAAACTCATTTACACAAATCTGCGATGAATGTATTTTTTATGTGTTGTCAACAGTTATTTTTGTACATACTGAGCATACAGTCTTCTTTTTTATTTTGCGCCATAAAAACAAAATGGAACTGATGAGACGTATGTTCTTGACAATAGTTTAAATTTTAGCTTCACATCTCCCGTTCACACCAAATTCAACTGTGATGAAAAAGCATAAAGGGAGAGAGACATAATGATATATTTTCTACTGATATATATAAATATATATATATATACATACACATATATATTGTTTTATTTTGCTTTTTTTGTCGCTTAGAACAAGACACAGTTTCACATTTCATGTTTAATACTTGTCAAAGAGATTTTTAATTTCTGTCAACATGCAAAATCCCACTATTGGCTACAAGGACTCGGTATGTTTGTTCCTAATTAGCACTGTTGTCAGATACAAAGTGACTTCACTCCTCTCTGATTGTCGTTGTTCTTATTTTCTTTTGTTCGTATTCTATGCGAAATGCCATTTGCCGCCGGTTTTTTTTAAATTCTTTATTCAACTTCACATTCTTAAGATTATCAGTCATCATTTCTATTTTTCTTCTTTTTTCACAAGTAGATTATTATTTTTTTCCTGTTGTTCTTGTTCATGTTGTTGCTCGGTTCTTTCTTTTCCTAAAAGTTCAAAGTTTTTTTCTTGTTTTTAAAGTTTGTTGTTGTTTTGTTTTTGAAATATTTTTTATTTTTTACAAACACTATGTGTCTTAGGCAAATATTATACAATAAAAGAAAGAATCGTACCAACGGAAAGACAGTTAAACTGAATAAACTTGAGTTCTTATGACTAAGATTATTTCAGAATAACACTTATATTATCCGTATGTTATTCACTCTGGATTTTTCAAAAAAGATTTCTCTGTTATATCCGAGTTTTGAACTCTACTGGCATTAGTTTGAATGAGTCTCTTCGTATCGTATGCACCGACGGTGAATTGTTTGTGGATTGTCAAGTAGAACATCTCACAATGTTCTCATTGTACCACATTCTTTCTCCAGAATTAGTACTTTGTTCTTGAATTAGCGATGGAACTGAAGTTAAAAGAAATAGCGTGTATGAACAATAACGGTTTATGAGCAGATGTGTAGGGACTGAGTTCCATTATCGGAGAGCAATCTTTTTATATAATTCGTTGTAAACTCTTTTTATTTACTTTTTAGGGACGACATGAATGTTGTTAAATAGAAATAATGACAGAGACTAATGATCCATGCATATTGTTTCCTACACAACAAATATTCTCGACTTCGATAGGTGCCATATGTACAGCATTATTGATGGTATGTTTACGTTAATTTCATCAAATAATACTTTTCTTTATTTGTTTACATTCAGACTCCATTCGATGTTGTTCGTATTCGTATGCAGTCTGAGAACAGACCATTAACAAAAGCAAATTGTTTTGTCTATAGAATAGGGTACGTATTACGTAATGCGATTATTAATCGAAATTAGGCTTACTTTCTATTAGTTTAGATTGATGGATCATGTTTGTACATGTTTCAATAAACTTGATTCCGTTCCCTGGTACAATCGACAAATTAAAGGAAAATACTCTAGTACAGTTGATGCTCTGGTGAAAGTAAATACCGATGAATTTAGTTTAGCTATGTATATATTAACGACTAAAATGGACTTCCGTTATATTTTTTTCTATTCTGTATTCTATACATATGTTTAATTGATCATACGCTCAAAAATCTCAGATATCTCTTCGATTCGCATGAACTGTACTGAACATATAGAAGTCTCTCGCTCTCTCTCCCTCTGAGATGGTGAAGAGTGTAGCAACTCTTCAATATATTCGGTGCACTTCGTTCTGAAGACATCGGAGTGCTTTAAGCTTATGGCCAATTGAACATATGTATAGAATACAGAGCAGAAAACAATATAACAAAAGTCCATTCTGGGAGCAGAACTACATGGCTAAACCTAAGAATGTGCTCGACATATCAAATACGTTCAATTTTCTTTCATACAGATAACCCGTAGTGAGGGTCTGGTGTCGCTTTGGAGTGGCTTATTTCCCACTTTGGTGATGTCACTCCCGAATACAGTCATTTACTACACATCTTACGAGAAAATGAAATGTGTTTTAGGATACCATACTAAAAATCCCAATCCTGTTATTCCAGCATTTGCAGGTACGCAGACAAAGACAATTGAGAAATAATAAATAGAAAATATCAGTTTATTTCGGTTGTTTTTAGGAGCCATAGCACGGATAGCTGCTGTTGTTGTTACTAGTCCGTTAGAATTAATACGAACAAAAAAAATGTCAGAAAAATCATCATATACAGATTTAGGAAAGAAGCTGAGATCATCTATTGAATTACATGGTTTCAAAACGTTGTGGAGAGGACTCATTCCTACTATCTGGTATATGTCAATTTCTTTTGTTTTGTAAATGGTCATTATTACAAATATTAAAATGTGTACCTTTTTGTTTTAGGAGAGATGTTCCGTTTTCTATTTTTTACTGGACTGCGTATGAAAGACTGAAACGTAAGAAGCATGATTCATTAATTAAGTATAAAAGTCTAGTCCGTATATCTGAATCGTCAGATCATCTTATTAAATAAAGTTAAATGACGATCGTTGAATTTTTTTTTTTAGTATATGTCATTCGTTATCATCTATATTTTGATACCTTTAGTGCTTTTTACTGTGGTGCAATAGCAGGTAAGATCCATAGGACAGCATCTGTGTTCAAAGTATTTAACAGATAATTCTTTCTTAGGTGGACTGGCAACCGTGCTTACTCATCCATTTGATACTGTTAAAACGTACCGACAACTTCATTTGGGCCAAATGAATATTGGAAAAACAAGACAAGAAGGAACACTGAAAATATTGAAGTCATTATTAAAGTCAGGTGGAATAGCTAGTCTCTATAAAGGTCTTGCTCCAAGATTGCTAAAAGTTTCACCAGCATGCGGTTTAATGATCGGTAGTATCGAGTTTTTTCGGGGCTTCTTCTAAAAAAACGCTTAATAAATCCGTTAGGATAATTATGGTGAAAAAAATTACCGTTGATTAGGCAATTATAAATAAAGCAGAACAGTTGTGTTTACTCTTAATTGTTGATTTATTTCATGAGATTGTAATTCAGCTATTTTCTGTTATTGTTTTTTTCACATAGGAATATATTTTTCTATTGGTTTTATTTTTACTGTTGAAAATAATTTTTATATCTTCCTAATAACAGAACGTTACAATGGTGCAATAGCTAGTACAACGGTATACATCAGAAATCTGTAAATTCTTTTGCATATAATTCAACGCTAGATTTATCGAGATCATCTGATTTGAATTGTTTAGCCGATTTAAAATCTGTTAATTGCCTTGCGGGTACTTTTATGGTGGCTACAATATTTTTTTTCAACAAATCATCCCAGTTAATGTATCGAAACCATGTATGATATTTAATATCATGTGAACCTGGAAACAGAAGTATCAAAATTATTAAATATAATACAACGGTCTATGGGTGGTTATTCTTGTATATCATGCTATTAGAGACCATTTATTTTCCTAACCTTTAACTAAATTTCCCAACCTTTTTGTTAAATCAGGATTCATTAGTCCGGACAGAATGCTTCTTAAATCATCGCTAAAATTTGCTCTGTCGGGATATTGACCAAGTCGTATTCGCAAATACATATCAGGATTTCTGCCGATATACGGCGGTGAGCCTGCACAAAACATATTTATTAAACAGAAAATAGCCTATGTAGATGAATGTAAGTGTTTTACCACTTTATACCTGTACATAATTCATAGATAAACACGCCGATACTCCACCATTCAGCTGCTTTACCATAACCTCGTTGAGAACACACTTCAGGAGCAAAATACTCCGGAGTACCACACAATGTATATGTTCGCGTTGAAACTATCTTAGCAAAACCAAAGTCAGTCAATTTAATATATCCATCTTCTGATAAAAGAATATTCTCTGGTTTTAAATCTCGATGAAGAATGTCTTTTGTATGTAAATACTCAATACCCAAAACAATTTGAGCAGCATAGAACGGAGCATGTTTTTCAGATAATGATCCTATTCTATGGATTAACGAATAGAGCGTTGCACACGGTACATACTCTAGAATAATGTATAGATTTGCATTATCTTTAAATCCTTCAATAAATCGAACAATAAATGCATGTGATGATATTTCTAAAAGACTTTTTTCTCTTATCACATATTTCACGGTTTGTGTTTTAACAATATGTGCTCGTTTTAGGATTTTAACAGCAACAAGTTCTTGGGTTTTGGCATTATTTGATAACACTACATGTCCAAACGAGCCGACTCCAAGGAACTAAAAATGTATAAATAATTTATGGACTAGTAAATACGATGATTGGATAAATAGTATAGAGCTCAATATCTTAGCCACTGAAGGAGTGGATAAATCAACACTCACAGGACCCAGTTGATAATCCTTTACAATAACATTGTGAGGAAAATTGTTTGATGCATGCAAAGAATGTTCTTTTTTAGTCCATCCAAGCATTTTCTTTTTTTTAATATTCTTGAGCGATTATCAGATTCCAAATTCCATTTGGAATAGTATTTAAACTACGTTTGTCGTTTTTTATTTTTCTATATAAAAAAAAATAAACGAAAAAAATAAGTGTTTAAACGAAACAGACTTAATTTTTTTCACTTTAAATTTTAATCATTATACGCGCGTTCGATAATTGATTATAAGTAATTAGCATTCTAATTAGTTCTTCAGCATAATATATACATACATTATAAATCGATAATCTGTAGAAATGAAGCTCTTTATGCACACGGTTAGTAGACAATGTTAAATGCACATTATATCTTTAATGGAAAACTTTTCTAGACACCCGATCATTCCACCAACTCTAGTTACTCTACTAATTAAGAATAATGAATGAATGAATTAATTCATCTCAAGGTTAGAAAATTCCCGATTGATCTATTTATTCACATAAAATTTAATACAAATATTCATCTTGTAAGATGCATTCAGAAAATTTTTTTGAAAAAATCAGTCCGTTGTTTATAAGAGCATAGATTGATTATTCAAGAAAGTATATATTCTCTCTCTCTTTCTCTCTCTCGTAATATTCTTCTTTCTATGAATTCATCTTTCGATAGTTTATGTATATGCACACACACACGCATAGACTGCGCCTATTCTTTTCTTTTCTCTTTTCTTTCTTCAAAACTGAGAATTCAATCTCAATATTAATGAATTGAATACAGGTAGAAGGAAAGAACTATGTCCGCTTTATTAGTTGAGAACACATTGTTTCTCTATACTGATCTTCAAAGTAAATAATCCTACCCGATTATGAATATTCGTTTTAAACTTTGCCCTTTGTGTCACGTTCATATGATCTGACATAAAATTCGCAGAAGCGTTATTCTATTTACTAAAAATAAAAGGTTATTCTCAGATAATCTTTCTAGTTTTGGGAAATGTGTTTGTTGTTTTTTTTGCAAGAGAATAAAGAAATATTCAACATTTTTTATTGTGGTTATTATTGTTATTATTATTTGATTTAAATTTATAAGAATTTTTCTCGCTTTTTTTTTTGTATAATGTTAAATATAATGTACATACTATTATAATTAAAAATTCATCTGGCTTCACTGTGGCTTAGGCTTATCGTCGGCATTGCATGTACGCATAAACTCTGAATCATTATAATGATGAGATTTTCTATTTTGTTTTTATATACGATTTGATGAGTAGTGAAGGTCTCCTTGTGTCGTAGCTCATTTCTGATATATTTTGTACAAAGTTTATCTTTCTGCAAATAATTTTTATTTCAGTATGTCACCTCGATCAAATAGAAGTATGAAGAAAGAGAGAATAATTTATTAAACTGAATTTTATCATCGATCGTGATTTTAGAAGGACTACTATGGCTTCTTTCGAAGATATTTGACGAAATCTTGGATTGAAATATACAGTAACAGCGTATATATACTATCGTTCTATATGTTATAGTCAAACAGATTAGGATTCAATTCAAAAAGCTCAATTAAAGCCTTTTTCTTTTTTCGTTTCTTTTCTGTAATGTTCTTTTTTTCATATTATGGTGTTACCGTCATATATTAAATCAGGATGAAAATAGATGTCGGGTTTAAGTCATTTATAATTCTTCTTCTTTTCCTTCTTCTATTCTTTCTTTCATATCGTCTATAAGTAGCCAAGTGTTAAGCAAATCTTTATTGGCATAGATTAAACCAAAGGATATATATACATCTTATAAATTCTCTTTCTAGTCTATATATGTACACGGTAAACTTTTCAAAAAGATGATGTTGTTGTCGTATATAATACGAAAAGAGAGAAGAATGAAAAAGTTCATATGGCGATCTATATAGGAAAAAATGTAGATGATTTGTTATATGTGTATACACCGCTTCATTTCAATGACGGTATTATAATCATAAAGAAATTTTTTTTTTTATATGAACTAAAAAGAAATTGTTACTGCTATTACTGCTCTCCGGGTGTGCATAGTTTTATTTAGAGTTGATTGTGATTTTTTAATGACACATATAATACACATTTATAGACAAAAAATCCATTTTTTTTCCTTCTTTTCTCTATCGCGTCGCAGCGATAATACGTTTGATTTTCATTTTGATTCTGCTTGCGGTCTGATTTAAAAACTTCTCCTATATACTTCTATTCATATAATGATTTTTTTTGTGTTGTTTTGTTGCTTCTATGTTTCTAATACCTAATCACATAGGTATGATGGATTTGTGAAGTATATACATTAAAAATCCAATTTATTATTATCGACTAAAGAACAATAACGTTCAACTTTAGAAAGTAATCCTTCGTTTACTACTAAAGGTAAGCAAAGAGAATGTAGTCAACGTTCCTCTTCCTCACCTGCATAAAAAAAACGTACAGTAATTCATCTAACTCAAACAGCCAACGTACTTTATTTAAACGGTTATCGAATCAGCTTCTCCAAACAACTTTATATTTTTGTTGTTGTATACAACAGTCACGTGAAAACCTACCGTTTACGACAGAACCTTCTCAGATGATTCATCTCAATTCTGAAGAAACATAGATTTTGAGGGGTTATGTTCAATGCTAATCACGAAGCCAATATTTGTTTTTGCCCATATGTCTTCCTAGTACCGTCCTACAGAAAGCGTGCCTCTGGAGATCTAATCTGCACTTCC